TTGGCAGAATGACTCCACTCATGGAGCTGATTTCCCCCTTTTATACAGGGGCAGCCGTCGCCCCCTAGTGTCCACATTTGGCCACAGGAGGTGGCAGAGCGGCGCCTCCTGGGTCTTAGCGCCTTTCCCTCCGGAGACCTCGGTGAGTGGGGCCAGACAGAGCACAACGCTGGCGGAGAGGCCGCGGCTCTACGCACACTGTCCCCTGCGCTGCAAGCCAAACCCTGGCTGCGGCGCTGGACCCAACCCCCTGCGGAGCTGTCACCTCCGCGCACACGTGGTCGGCAGCGGGGCCCCTTTCTACAGCTTCCCCAGAACACCCACTTCCAGCCAACGCCGGGGAGCGCGGGAGCATCGGAGGCTGCGTGGGGGTTCGATGGAAGACGACCTGGTCTTGAACTACTGATGTGAGGACTCGCCTTAGGAGCTAGAAGCAGGCTTGTCCTGGACGAGGGTTTCCCGAAGGCTGCGGCATAGAGCAGCCGGGCTGGGGGCGGAGGATGAATGGGGGCTGCATGTGACTCGCGGCCGGGCGCACACCGTTGTGTGCAGAGCCCGGAGCGCGGTGGCTATGCGCCTTCTATTACTGATCTCCAGGGGACCCCACTGTCTCCGCGCCAACGCACTTCTCGCGCTCTGCCTTTCCGTGTACTCCGGGGTCTCACCGGCACAGCAGAGCACAGGGCGCTAGGACCCGGCGGGGAGCAGAGGCGGGCCGAGGCCCAAAAGCTTGAGTACCGGGCGGGTCATTCCGCCTTGGCTAGAAAACTTTCTTTTTAATTACTTCTGCAGGCGGGAGCGTAAGTTGCTGGGCGCGCTGGGCCGGTGTTGCTATCCCGCGCCGGGCAGCCAAGTTTTTCCTGCGGGACCAGCAGGAGGAGCCCCAACACGAGCCGACCCGAAGGACCCGCCTAGCTGGACACCAGGGCAAGCAGCAGTGTGTGTGTGTGTGTGTGTGGGAGACGGGTGCAGGGAGCAGTGTGTGTGTGTGTGTGTGTGTGTGTGTGTGTGTGTGTGTGTGTGTGGGGGGGAGGGGTCCGCACAGAAATAGGTGAATTTGCGTCCTGGACGCAGGATCCCAAGCCACCGCTGCCCTCGCTCACTTTCTATTCAGGTGGACGTCCACGGGGGGAGCCAGACCCTCAGAGTCCTTGCTGCTCAAGGTTCGAGCATGCACTGGGAGAACTCTGCCAGGCAGAGCGCTGGATCCCGGGGGGCGGGGCGGGGGGCGAGGTGGTCAGGCTCGCCGTTTGGGCGCCACTTTGCCAACACGCTCTCTGCTGCGGGTGGAAGGAGTTTAGGAGTTTGCTGCAGTCTACCTAGCCACGTGGCGTCCGTCGCAATCTCTACCCGGATAGCGCCTGGGAAGGGGGAAGCGGCCTGGCCCAGATGGAGCCTCTGGACCCAGACTCTCTTCTGCCTCTGCTCAGCCGATCCTCAGGACTTCTTGCACTGAAGACAGACGCGACCGGGAGCTGGCTGGATGTGCGCTAGCCTCCAAAGACTTTGGGTTGCACAGGTCAAGACCCCTGCACAGCGGCCTTCTGAGGCCTGGCAAAGCGCCACAACCCGCCCAGGAGCTCTCAAGGAGGCAGAGCTGAGACACAGCTGAAAACGCGAGGAGGTCTTTCCCAGGATCACTGTAAAGCAGCAGCTTCGTCTGGGGAACGCATACTGTGCTTTAATCAAGGTCTATTCAAGAGATTGCCAATGATTAATGGCTCAACTGCTTCATTTTTGGTCCAGAGCTTATAAACAAGATATTTTTAGCTTTATGCTGTTGGACAGAGGGAGTAAAAGCAGATACCTTAAATAAATGACCTGATGTGGGCTAAGGAATTGCGCTCTGGGCCAGATGCAGACCGTGCACCTGCAGCGTGCACCTGCAGCAGGAGACCTGGCAGGACAGTCAAAAACACCCAGAGGGACTGCCATTTTTCTGTACTGCTAAAAAGAGCGCTTTTTCCCCAGTGTAAGAACAACAATAAAAACAAGGCTGCTGAAAGTGCCGTTCCCAGCGCATGCAGATACGGGAAGAAGGTGACACCTGCTCTCAGTCACCAAGTCACTGTTGCCTGTGCAAGAAACAGGAACTTTTCCTCCTAGAACTGGAAGTAACCACAGCATGGGAATAAAACCTTGTCCAATAAATGTCTGTGAGTGTATGGGGGGGGGGGGGCGAGGGGCGGGGGGAATAAAACCTTGTCCAATAAATGTCTGGGAGGGTATGGGGGGGGGGTGAGAGCGGCAGGGAGGGGGCTTCCCACCCAAGGGAGATGCTTGCCTCAAGAGCCACAGGTCCTCCTAAGTCCCAGAACAAGAGTTCACCTGCCCAGGGCTGCCCTGTGCAAGGTACTGAAGGCCTGGAGGTGAGTGAGAAGTGGCCCTCTCTCTCCAAGCACAGAGTCTGCTGGGAGGAAAGAGCCTCTTCACTGAGGAGGAGACACCCAAAGGACAGGGGATGGGACTTCCTCCATGAGTTCGATACATGCGTTAGGAGACACAAGAAGGAAGAAAGGATGGGTGTGATGTGATAAGGGGACTTCCTGTCCTGCAGGCAAGGGACTCTGGAGGAGAAAGAAACCAGCCTTGACTAGGGAGGTGCTATGGCCTGAATTGTGTCATACGTTGAATGTGACTGGATTTGGAATCATGACTTTTAGGAAGCAATTAAGGTTAAAGGAGATTCTAAGAGTGGGGTCCTAACCCCTGACCACTGATAGCCTCCCCAGAGCCCGACAAAGCTGGGCCTCCTGCTCTTAGACGTCCAGGCTTCAGAATGGTGAATGGGGTTTAAGCTACCCAGGCTGCAGTGTTCCATTATGGCAGCCAGAGCAGAAGAAAACAGGAGGAGAGACAGGGCTCCATGCAGGAATGGCTCTCTGAGCTGTGCCTTGCAGGCTGAGCAGGAATTTGCTAGAAGGATAAGGGAGGAAGGACTTCCAAGGAAGAGGGAACAGCAGGTGCAAAGGTGAAGAGGCTGTGAGTACATGGCCTGTTCTGGTAACAAAGCACGGGACGTTTGACTGGCTGGATGTGGGGTGAGCTGGGGAGGGGCCTAGATAAGGCTGGATTCACAGACAGGGCTGGGTTGATGGCCAAGGCCGCTCTAGGTGAGAGAGGAACGCTTATCTCATAGGATTTTGTCCTCTGGTTTCTCGAAGGGGAGCTTCGGTGTCTGATTTGGGTTCCTGAGAAGCTACTCTGGCAGTGTTGTGGAGGGGGGAGGGGAGTGCTGACCGGATGAGATAGCACAGAGACCTGAGGCCCCAGGCTGTGGAGGCAGAGCAGGATAGGTTTGAACAAGATGTCAAGACTCGAGGGCCAAATGCCTGACTTCTGGCTGGGATTACTATCTCCTGACATACACAAGGCCTAGGAAAATGGACCCCCTCCAAGACCCTGAGAGGCCACAGGGACCCCACTCATGGGACACGGCCTGCCTGCTTGTGGTTCTAGAGGAGAGGAGCTTGGAGCAGCTGCCAAGATCCTGCCTTGTTCTCTCTTTGAAGTCTGAGAGTCCCTGGGGATGAGGAAGAAGTAGCTCAGAGGGCAGGTAGTGAGACTCTGAGTGGGCTGGCTGGATGCACAGAGGTGAGGGGGTGTCTAGGGACTTGAAGCAGAAGTGTCCTAGAGCTGCCAAGGCCCTGAAGCAGGAATTGGCTGGAGAATCTAGGAGACCCCAGAGTTGGTGAAGCCACTGTCCATGGGAGGTGTCCAGGGTTACAGGGATGCCCCGATGGACCTCACGGGCAGTCGGCATGTTGCCGGAGAAATCGGCATGAAGGGGCAGCACCTGGCAGAAGGCTCTTTGGCTCGCGGTCAGTTGAAACAAATCCAGTAATAAGCTGATAAATGCTCTGGCCTTTATGATTCCTTTTCCTTTTGAATAATAATTTCCTTTTTCTTAATAGCTAGAGCAGTGGGCCAGGGACCCAGGCTTGACGGGCTGTCCTTTCCTCAGGGCCTGGCTTCTGCCATGACAGAGACCAGGGAGAGAAGAGGATGCTCAGAGGCTGCCTCTACTTCTCACAAAGGAGGAATCAGCAACGGCAGTGAAGGTTGTGAAGTATTTAATAGGTGTGACTCGTGCCCTTGACAGCTCAGGAGAGGAGGCGGTGGAGCTGGGGAAGGGCAGGCCGGGGTGTGAGCAGGCTGGTGGGGAGGTGGGGAGTGGGAGGCCACTGTGAATTGTGGTCCTGAGTTTTCGCTGCTCCAGGATGAAGCCTGATTCCAGAGTCATTTGCAACTGGAAGCTTTTAAAACTTTTATTTGAAAATTCTGATGCCTGGTTTCCAAATAACCAGTGTGTATCTTCACAGGGCGCAGCTACACCCATTTTGAGAAGACACACAGAGCTCTGGGAGCTTATTTCACTCTGGTTCAGCCAATGCTATGCACCCAAGAAAATGAGCATATAGGTGTGAAGGTCAATGAAATTCTGAAGAATGAAATTTAGTTTTCTAGATTTATCTAAAGTTAGACTGGTCACTCCAGGGCCAGCCAGTGGAAAAGTGGTTAAGGTGGCTGAATCTCACAGGGCCGACTGGGAGATTGGACCCTCAGACCTGGTGACTTTTTTTGGAGAGGTTTTTGCCATAGGGCATGTGTGCTTGCCAGAAAGACAGAGAGACAGAAAGTGAGAAATCACCCCTCGGGGGATGGCCATGCAGCAATCCCTTCTCCTCCATTCTCCTCTCGGGATGTTGGGCCCAGTGTGAGTTTAAGCCACCAGGTCCAGGACTGGAAATGGGGTTGACTACATGGGAGTCCAACGACATAGCCATTACATCAACTGCTGGTCCCAAGACCTGGTGACTTGAAAAACATGCCAAGTACATGTGCATTTGTACCCAGAATCCTGAAAAGAAAGAGAAATGGAGGATAAGGGATTGGAGCATGACCATTCCCTGTAGGGTATGTTGTGTGCTGGGGAGTGATTCTCACTTTTTCTCTCCTCTCTCCCTCCTGACAATGCATATGACCTCTCACAAAAATGAAAATAATGAAATAAATAATAAATAGGTCATTCCAGAGCAGAACCTATTGATAAAAGACTAGAACTACGTTTTTCAGG